AAGGTGAAGTAGGAGCAAGCATATCACACGGCAAAAGCAGGAACAAGAGAGTGAGAGTGAAACAACCAGAAAGTTTCAAACCACCAGATCTCATGAGAATTCACTCACTATCATGAGGACAGCACCGAGCGGATGGTGCTAAACCATTTATGAGGGACTCCCATGATTTAATCACCTTCCACCAGGTCCCACCTCCAACACTAGGGATTAAAATTCAACGTGAGATTTGGGCAGGGACAAAATCCAAACTACATCAGGGTCTGTGCTCAGATAGTGAAACGGCCCCAGGCTGCAAGACTCCCTGCCCAGGACAGAAACCATGGCTCTGAGGCCACACCTCTGCGGTACAGTTTCATGAAGTAGGGGCGCCCAACTTCCACATCACAGCAAGAACTCAAGCCAAAGACGAACCCCCACCCAGGGTAAAAAAGGCCCCGGTCACCAAGTGAACCACGACTATGTGAAACATTCCTGTAAGTTTTATTTCCAAAATAACACACTGGCATCATTTCAATTACCTCTTCCAAAGAATATTCTAAAAATTCGTGTTCTCTGCCATCATTTCAAAGTAGATAGTTTTATTATTTTCTGTGGATAAATTTCCCAAAATTTTATTTTTTAGACTGAAGCTATTCACAGATGGGTCTATTTATTAAGTTAACTGCTTAATATTTAGCTTTCAAATTTCTCTTAGAAGTAGGCTATCAAATCTGCAGGAACGCTCTAACCCACTAACCTTTTTCCCCAGTCCTGCTGTCAGAGATTCATGGACAGCTAATAGAGTGAATCAAACGACCTACACCTACTCACAGCCTCAAAGGCACTCGAGCTCATTTCGACCATATCCTCAAAGCAAAGTCGCCTGTCGCCTAAAATACTTCCCAGACACCAAAGTGTTTCTACTAATAATGGAGGACGTTAGAACCTCTAGAGCTCACAGGGTACCAGCACATGGAGCTTAAGCCTACCACCACATTCACGCAGAAAGGCAATGAAAATAAAAGAAAATTATTGCCACAGACTATAATTGAGTTACAGCAAAAAGCCACAAGTGCCTATTATCCTGCAAAATCTAAAGCTTGTCATCCCACAGCAAGATTATACGAAAACATTAACCCAAGAGGGGAGTGAGTCAGTGGACTGGGTAGGATTCAAGACAAGATGCAACTCTCTAACCAGCAAAATAAAAGCCTACGATAGAAAAGGGAGCAAGATGGCATATGGCACGAAGGGAAAATGAAAGAACTCTTCGTTCTGAAAATAGCTCCATTTCATCAAGACACTTAGAGGATTCCAAGTCAGCAAGATCTGCAAGTACCCTCCACGGGGCAGGTAGCAACCTCTGGCTATCTCCCCACTCCGGGAGGGAAGAAAAGACATGCCTCACACAGCACTCCACAAAATTGGAATGTGCATAGGAAAAACAGTCAAGGCTACTGGGGAACGTCCTCCCACTTCCTGCTACAGCAAACACAGCAATGGAGACATTCATAAGACCATGAATTTAGCAGCCTGGGGAGCGAGGTTGCTTGCCAGCTGCAACACACCACACATTGAGTTAATGCTGTTTCGTATATAATAATTTTACTTTTATAACCCTGGTAAGACTGCTAGCAGGCCAGTTCTGAATTTTGCCTGTTCCCAAGGGCACTAAGGTGGGAGGTATATTTACACAATGCTTTAAAGAAATAATTATCTTAAAGCCCCTACCAGAATCCACTGAACAAACTATAACAATAGTTTTAAAGGTGCTGTTTGGAACTACCAAGATTTTTGTCCATCGAAATCATTCTAAAAGTGACAGAGCAAAACGAATAAATAAATGAGATATTAGTAAGGTGTAGAAAGCAAGACTATACTGACGCTAAACCAAACTGAGATTTTTTTCTTCTTTAGGGAATGATGAGTGTTTTATAAGTACATAAACCTTCAATATGTTTTAAAGTTATCATATCATAGCCTGTAAGGTGTAATCAAATCAAACTGAAAACAGAAAAAAGGGCATACGCTTTCTTAAGATTTGCTAACAGTGACAGCACTACATTTTTAGCAATCATTATGCTTTTCAGTTCTTTCCATTTAATCTATCTTAAGACAAAAAAAACAAGTTAGTGAATATGAGTATGTCCTCCACACCATTAGTCTATAGGTTCCCTGAAAGCATTCCAAAATTTAACAAAATTCCTACTGCTTAGCTCACAATAGGCTCTCAATAAATGAAAACTCAATGAATAAAGCCCCAGATGCCAACTACACCTGAGGAGATAAGAAGTACAAATTACAAACGTTTCTCATGCATCTTCAATCTGCTTCTAAGAGAAATTACAAGTCATTGTTTTGAGAAAAACACAGACTATACCTCCCTACTCCCACCCCAAAAACTATTGAGAACACAGATCAGCACACTTTCTTTTACAAAGGGCCACGTGCTATCTACATTTTGGGTTTTGTAGGCCACATAGGTCTCTGCGGCATATTCCTCTTTGTTTTGTAACAATCCTGTAAAAATGTGAAAACCATTCTTAGTCCTGGGCTTGTACAAAAAAAAAGAGCCAGGGCAGGCTTTGAACCATGGGCTGTAGTTGGTGATTTCTGACCCATAGAAAACAAATTGCTATTCATTTTGGAAAGCAATTTTTTCCTAGGTGGTAGAAGACACAACTGCCAATTCAGCAACGCGAGGTAAGAGGTACATTCACATAAAACAAAAAATAAAACAAAACAAAGGGTATCATGATCAGGTTGGAAAATCAGAGCCCAGGAGAGTATCTGTGGGGCTGAGAAGTCTGGGGTCTAGCAAGAGAGCAGAGGGCACTGCTGTCGCCGCAGCCTCCACCTCCCACAGGAAGCAACTCAGATCCGACCAACTGGACACTTGAGGATGACTGTGTGTGGGGCTGGGCGTGGTGGCTCACTCCTGTAATCTCAGCACTTTGGGAGGCTGAGGCAGGCAGATCACCTGAGGTCAGGAGTTCAGGACCAGCCTGACCAACAAGGAGAAACCCCGTATCTACTAAAAACACACACACACACACATATAAATAAAATTAGCCAGGCATGGTGGTGTGGTGGCTCATGCCTGTAATCCCAGGATAACTGTGTGTCCCTGCCCAAATCTCGTGTCAAACTGTAATCCTCAACATTGGAGGTGGGGCCTGGTGAGGTGACTGGATCATAGGGGCAGATTCCATCTCCCCCTCCTTGCTGTTCTCATGATAGTGAGTGAGTTCTTGTGAGATCTGGTCATTTAAAAGTGGGTGGCACCTCCCGCTCCCACTCTCTTCCTCAGGCTCTGGCCATGTGAGGTGCTCGATACTTCTTTGCCTTCTGCCGTGACTGTAAGTTTCCTGACGCCTCTCCAGAAGCAGATGCTGCCATTGTGCTTCCTGTACAGCCCGCAGAACTGTGAGCCAATTATACCTCTTTTCCTTATAAATTACCCAGTCTCAGGTGCTTCCTTATAGCACTGCGAGAATGAACACACTGCTCCCATCCTCACCCCCAACCCCCAAGCAGATGTCTGTTTTGAGACGCTTTTCCTACCACTAACAGTATGTCATCTAACAGCTGCACCTGAGTTTTTAAGTGAAGTTTACCTTTGACACTACCTCCTAAATATCAGCCTTAATTCTTTCCACTTTAAACTTTTGGTTTTTTTCGTTGAATGCTCCTTATGGTTTTTCTGGGAGGCAGTATTTTACCACTTCCACTTCCATATGAAACTATCTTTCCCTTCATAGATGACCGTATCTGAAAAAATCAGTGATTTATCATTCATAATTTAATCTGAATTAATGCTTTTAAATAAACATTTCTTTTTGCCTTATTAAACTGCGTGGTATTAGGCCACCAGTAAAAATTATTATGATCATTCATTAGTTCCTGAATCCTTACAACCTTTGAAAATTCTTAAAAACAGAAAGTAATAGAGAAAAGTGAGATAATTAATTAAGATTGTGATCCAGGTGAGAAAAGAAAACTCCCTTTAGGATCTCGGGTAGTGGGCATGGAGAAGCGGCAGAAGGAACACGGTCTGCTCTTCCCCAGGACCAGGGAGAATCAAGTAGCAGTGCAACATCAGGGAGTCTAGGCTAGGGAAGAGGACATTTCATTAGTCAACAAGAGTGGCCTGCCCGAGAGGCCCATTACACACCACCACAACCACAGTCAATAACAATGTAATTTATTCTTGCATATCACTAAGAAAGTAGATTTTAAGTGTCCTCACAACAAAAAAAAGGAGGTATGTGAGGTAATGCGTATGTAATTAGCTCAATGTAGCCATTTCTCAATTTCAAAACATCATGTTGCACATAATAAATACATATAGGTTGGTGTGTACGTATACAGACATATATACATACACCCACCCAAGAAGAATGTCTTGACCAAGGAATGCTGTGTTCAAATAACAAGGAGTGGACGTAACAATAACAGTAACCTAGAGACCTAGTCTCTGAGGTCAGCTGGAAAAGAATTTAAGGGGCACGTGGCCTGGACTCACATTGCAGCCAGAAGTCATCCCAAGGCTGAGGAGAGGGACAGACAGATTTAACAATGCACACAGGTAAAGGAGACTTATCAGAGCGGGGTGCAACACAGGTGGAACACCAGGTGCAAAGGAAGATGAAGCAGCCAGCGTCAGAAACAGATGGCCCCTGCAGGGAGAGTGAATACTCTAAGCCCAAGCCCAACCACGCCACTTGGTTTACTGAGTTGCACAGCACCAGAAACCAAGAACTAACTTGCCCTATATGGATGAGCCATTCTATTTCCAATCTGGACCAAAAATCACATCCTGTGATATTTTAAATGCCCTGTCCTAAAAATAAGAATCACTCAGACAAGTTTTAAAAAATTAAATCACATGGTATCTCTGCTCAAATGCAATTTCGAAGCTAAAAAAGATTTTCACCCCGAAAGGTTAGAATGAGTATTTGAAAGGTAAAGCTCCCCGGAGTATACTTCATAAGCATGGAAGTTTGAAGTTCCCGTGTTACCTCCTTTTTTGCTTTAAATATGTCTTTCTTGCAGGCTGCAGTGGTCCTCCACTCAAAGTAGTGCACACATTCTGTTGCGGTTACAAATTCAGGAGTTCCCTATTAAAAAATAATAACAATTATAATAAGTTACCATGCCACACATTGAAAAGATTCTTCTTTAAAATTAGAATGCAGTAAAGGCTACTAAAATAAAGAAAGCAGCAGCAAGAAGGGCAGGGGATGCAACCGCTTTAGTTAAACAGGGTCATCAAGACGTTCCCAAATCTGAAAATGCTGAGACCAAAGCTTCATAAAATCATGTTGGGATTTTGTGTAACTAATCCAAAAGCATTCTACCGCCCCAGCTATGCAAGTACAGTGATTGAGTTCATGGGAAGAAATCCTCGGTCACTCTCCTCTCAAACTCCAAATGTTCTCTTAAGCAAATGCCAGCAAACCAAAGCCAGGAAACATGACCTCATGCTTCCCGTGAAAAGGCTCCCATGAGAAGCCCATCTGCATCTGATCAAGTTAGTACATCCACCAGACGCCCACCCTCCAAGGCAGCCCCTCCTGTTAACCTCGACCAGAGTGGACTACAAACAGGCCGATCACAGCAGAGCAGGGTGACACAGGCACAGCAGGAACTGCCTCTACGCTCCCACGGGCAAGTCTAGGGAGTTATCCTTCACAGTTCTACTTCTGGTATGGTGAACACAGAATTCATAAAGGAAATTAGTTAAAGTTAAAACAGCAGCTATATATTTTATTCTGTAATATAAATCTTCTCATTTAATGCCGCTGCACACAGATTCTTTTATTTTTTAAGGTCTCAATATGCACACGATGCACTTCATAAGCGGATCCAAAATTAACAATGTTAGTTTTATTTGCAAAGTTCTTCAGATGAGACACTGTCGATCTGAAGATCCAACAGTCACAGTCCCAAACTCTAAAATGATATTTTAAAGCAATTTTGTAGCCACAGAGTTTCACTTGACCTCACTTTCCTAAGGATTGGGTTCTTACTCTGATTCAAGAACATTCACAGAATTTGTATAACAATTCCTTCTCCCAAGAGCTAAAACAATTATTTACTGCAAGTTCCTTTCCAAAAACTAAAGATTAAAAATAACAAATTACATACAATATGCCCATAAGAACAATCATAATAATTTACACAATGATGTCCTCTTTAAACACCAGGTAATATCCAAAAAACTTGAGAACCCCATACCCACGGGCCAAGGCTTCTCCTAAACAGATGTGGCTATCTCTAATTTAATATAAATGAGGAAAGAAAAGTATTTTCAAAAAAACTAAATACGCTGCTCTAAAACCCATCAAAATGAAATGCTAGGAGAGGTTTTAGAAAAAAAAAATTATGCCTATAACATAAACATTAAACAGTGCACTGATTTTTACCACACTAATCACACTTAATTGTAGTTTTACCAAAGACGTGGTCCATGTTTTACTTAAAAGTTGTAACAAGTTTAGAATTTGTTTACTTATTGGTTCTTGATGGTGATGGTGATTTGGTAGGGTTTTTCTTATTTGTGTTTCTAAGTTTGCTTACTGATTCTTCCTGGAATACCTCTACAGCCAGAATACCAAGGGGTAGACATTTTTTTTTTTTTTAAAGAAATACATGAAGTGTCTGTGTGGACTCACCAGGGTTTTCCCACACAGGAAGGCAATGCTGCTCTGGACTCTGTGATTTGTGCCTGGCCGGTCACAGCTCACTGTTGTGTTGAATTCCAGGAGAGATCTGGTTGCACTTCTCAAAACAGAGTCACCTATTTGGAGAGAAAAGAGAGTGAACAAGCTATAAAATATACATAACCAAACAGCTATTTCCAAGAAAAAGCAAATTAAAAGTAGCATTATAATTTATCTGACAGCTTATAAATTTATAAAACTTTCCTTTCCCAGAATTTTCCATCTCAGGAGTGGCATCCCCATTACATTATCTTTACCTTGTCTGCTGCTTTCCATACATCAGAAAGGTCCACAGCTATATGCCCATCTCAAATCTGTCCACATTTCTCCACCTCTACTCCCACTAAAACCACTACCTGCGCTCCAGCACTGGCCACCTAACTGCTCCGCATGCCTCCAGACTAGTCTCATCCCTCACCAGCCTCACTTCCTCATCCATCTTGCACCAGTGTGATCTTCAAAAATACAAATCAGAATATATAACTCAGCCACTGAAATTTTTCAATACTTCCCATCACATATGCTACAAAATCAACATTCTCTAGAAAGGCCTACAAGTATAGTGACCACATCTCTGTTTGTCTGGGACATAACTATAACAGTCCAGAATAAAAAGTCTATGTAAAAATCAACATGATGGGGGTTGGCATAGGAATAAACTGATCAGAAGACTAGAATAGAGACCAATTGACTAGAAGAGAGAGCACAGAGACACAAATGTGAATTAAACTTTGATTATGACAGAAGTAATAGATCAGGGAAAAGAGGAGGCTGTTCAATAAGCAGAACTGGAAATAAAAACAGAACTGGAAACAAAATGGTTATCCATATGGAAAAAGACAAAATTGGATCTCTATCCAGTACTGGGTATAAAAACCAACTCTAAACACAAGCTTGTCCAACCCGTGGCCCGTGGGCCACATACAGCCCAGAAGGGCTTTGAATGCAGCCCAACACAAACTTGTAAACTTTCTTAAAACATTATGATATTTTTTGTGATTTTTTTTTTTAGATCATTAAGTATTATGAGTATTAGTGTATTTTAGGTGTGGCCAAAGATAATTATTCTTCCAATGTGGCCTAGGGAAGCCAAAAGATTGGACACCCCTGTCTAAATGGATTAAAGATGTAAACATCAAAATACAAACTTCAAAACTTGGCAGAAATCTTAAGATAGAGAAAGATTTCTTATGACTCAAACTGATTAATAAGGTTGACCTATTCAATTTAAGAGTTTATACTCATCAAAAAATAGTTTAAAGAAAACAGAAGTTATAAACTGGGAAAAACACAGAACTGGCAAAGAACCAGCATCAAGAATTTCTACATACATTCACATGCAAACAAATAAGAAAAAGAATTTTTTATGTATAATTCCAGGAAATAAAGGACGATGAATTACCTCTGACTGAGAAAGCACACACCACGCCAGAAAGGAGAGAGAAGGAAAAATCCACACCTAGCCACACAACGGTGGATTTTAATATCCAATGAAAAGAAAAAATTCTAATCTAGGTCACACGCAATAGAAACCCAATATAAAATGAACAAGACATGATCAAGCAAACCGAAGAAAAACGTACATCAATAAATATGTTAAGAGATGTTCAATGTTACTGGTGATCAAGGAATTTCAAATCAAGACCAAAATGGTATACCGTTTACAGCCATCCCTCTGGCAAAAATTAAATACCAAGTGTCAGACGTGAGATGGCTCAGAGCTCTCCAGTATTGCTAGTGAAATGTTAACTGGTTCAACAACTATGTAAGTCAGCAGGACATTATGTCTTAAAATTGAACATTTGTGTGCCCTATGGCCTAGTTATTCCACTCAGTTATTCCACTCTTCTGAAGAGCAAAAACCTGGAAATAACCAAAGGCCCATCAACAGAAGAGTGGATAAATTAACTTTGGCAGATCCACGCAATAAAATATTACAGCATCCAGAAGGAATAACACACAGTGAAAAACAACAATATGGTTGATTTGTAGTAATATTACTGTTATCATTTAAGTCCCAAAGAGTTACACATAGGAAGATACACACTTTAATAAAGTTAGTTGCATACACACACAGATTTTTTTTTGGAAATTAGATACAGTAAAAAAAAAAATTTAATACAAGATGGGAGCTAACGATTACTTCTAGTGGAAAGTCAAAGAGGGAAAAGCAAAACAGACAGTGGTTACTGCCAAGATCCTAGATTTTTGTTGGTAACAGGGCTCACTACATTACACAAAACAACTAATTTTTTAAAAGGAAAAAGGTTAGTCCACGGATTACCACATGGATCACTGTATGTGTCATGAGCTCGGGATGACAGCTGATCCAATCCCATATACACCTGAAGTCTTGGGGCAGGGGCGAACCAAAAGTCAGCGCTGCCCCACAGCACCAGACTGATGGCCCGGTGGTTCTTCTGCCTAGGTGCAAAAGTCGGCCAGGATCATCCATCCCCATCTGCAACACCCAGGGTCTTTTCTAAAACCTTTGCCCGGTCGGCTCAGCCAAAAGGACACAGAAGTCCTGCAGAGGCTCTGAAACCAAGGACAGTGCCCCGTGGACAGCTCCCTCGCCTGGACAGCTCCCGCGCCTGGACAGCTCCC